AATTCGATATATACGTTTGCATGCGTGCGTACCTTTAAATCTCCACAGACGCCTTGGATTACACTTTGCGGAAATTGAGGTAACTTTGTGACAAAGCCCATTGCAATCCGATTCAGACCGGGACTTGAGTGACATGGGCACTACTTATATGATCCTAGCCGATTTTGGCTAATACCTAGTGACAATAATCATACCAAGTGACGGGACAGACTGTTGAATTACCAGAGGGCCGATATCAAATACATCTTGTGTAAACTGTTATACTTTGTTAAAAGGTTTTTAAACTTTACACAGTGAATAAACACAATGGGTGACGCAATCTCAGATATGGAACAAGTGGAACCTAACTAACTAACCTAATACCCTAGACAAGAGTCACAAGTACACTGTTACACGTATCATACAATTAGATACAATTAGATATCTACTAAGTTAAATCTAATATTCACCACAGACCAGACGTGGGCCTGGTGATAAGTGTCATGCCTGTCCTTAACAGTTGCAGTATCGCTCAGTTTTAAATCGCAAAACCCTGACGGGCACTGCCACGGCGCCCGTCACCCTGAGATATAAGTAGACAAGTACCTATAATTTCACTATCACCATACCGATCACAACAGGAACGCAGTACAATATATAAAGTTGTATAGTTCAATGTAGAAATTGCGCACGGTATATTAATATCAAGGTAACAATATGCTTAAGACTGGAATAAAGCGTGTGTTGACAAGCTGTCTATGATCAGGCCGTAGCATAATATCAGCTACTTTGTAAAATACTCCGCCATTACGCTTAGCTACAAACCTATATATCGGCAGTAACTTTCTAAGTAAAGCCTTGTATTAGCGCGACAAAGATCAAATTTTATTCAACAGCAATATCCGTATTTATTGCCAACAGTAACAGACCTACGTACAACATAACTCGCAACACGTGTTGCGCAACAATTGTTACCTTGTGAATACCCTGCTTAAAATAGACAGATAGTGCAGTGTTACAAGGCAGTTTGGGGAAATTGGCCACAACCGTGACCGGGGTAAGGTGAAAGGTGATTTATATTGAACGTAGTCCCTTCCTGTCTGAGGTTTCAAACGGGGGGGCGCTGTTTGTCTATCCAAGTACATACAGATTCAGATATTTAGAGGACAAAACTGCGAGCTCGTGTGAAGCTTATTATAGATTCGAATATTAACTAAGTAATCAAACTTAATGGAATTCGGTGGATACGATCTGGAAATTAATAATAAGAAATATGTCTGTTTCGTGTTAATATCCTGACCATTTTCTCCTAGATACAGACAATTATTAAAGCATTATTTTGCAAGGCTGTAACCATAAGCTTAACAGTTCTATGTTGTTATTTTGTGCATAAAAGCTCCGAGAAATCTTTTTTAACACACTGTATTTATATATATTTACCCTTTTGCATTGTACAATCAAAATTATAAATGACGATATTTCCTAAAAGATCATTTGCAACTTACAATAACATACATAAAAGTTACCGACTACTATAGTTATTTGTTATGCAAGACTACATAGTTGTTGTTTGACGCGAGTGCTTGTATTGAAACCTGAGCAAACGAAGGATTCTAAGATCGAACCACGAGCGAAATGGTGGTTCAAAAATAGAATCCCGATCGTAGCGGGGGTTTCAAGGTACGAAACGCAGAACAATTTTGCTGCCGAGCGAAACACACAACTTTTCACCTCACTATAACGAGGAAAATGGTAGATGATAAATAAAACAGTTGATCTATAACAAATCAGTTTAGTTTTTGGAGGAATTAAAATAATTTAATAAACAAAATTACTTATCGTTGTCAATTTAATGTCAACAATAATATGAATAAATTATACTAACGGATTTATATTACATAAATAATGTACGATAAATCACGTAGTTGAACGTGTCGTTATGTTTTTTATCATCGAAACAAAAAGTGCACCACAGTCCATCGTCCAACCCTTTCCATGCAGCAAAAAACGCTTTTCCGCGCAGATTTCCAATGAGAAAGAAAGCCTTTCCAAGCTAGTGAGGTGAAAAAGCTTCTTGTACCGTCATAGGTAAAAGAAGCTTATATCACAGATAAATCATAAAAACAATACGAACTACATGAAACAAATTATGTTTATGTCAAATTTTACAACTCTCCTATTAACTTCGTTCATAGAATCTTTAAACCTTTCCTGAAAAGTTCTAAGTCACAGATGTGGGCCTTATTACACCAAATGTGCGACTTAATATCTTTACAATCTTTTTCTAATATATTTGAAACTAATTTAACAACAGTAAGTTAATTTTCATTTTTACTTTATTTTGTAATTGTTTGAGTACACGTGTCTTCTATCTTCTTGTCTTATGCCGTTGTAATTGTTTGAGTAAGTACACGTCTTCTTGTGTTATGCCTATCTTTCTTACGTCTGCTTAGAGGTGTAAGGGAGCATTTATTCGACATGAATTTCATTGCGCTCAACCCGCGCGGTTGCTGCGCGGAGACCGCGTTGCCGCCGCGCAGCGACCGCGTGTATCCAACTGTCATGGCAAAATACGCTCTATGCTTTTACGTTTTAACTTAAATTAGTACCCGGAGCGCGGGCGAGACTGGCTTGTCTTTGACCTACGCGGCGGCCGCGCGGGATTTCGCGGTTGCATTATTCTGAGGAATTTAAATGTTGTTGCTTAGTAAATAGAATTCAGATTCGCCATTAATGTACGTGAAAGCGTGGCAGCTGGGCGGTTTCCGCGCGGCCGCCTTACGAAAACTTTCGCGTCGTGTAACTGTCGCAAACGAAACTATATTCAATAATATGTGAGGACCATATGTATACATAAGAATAAGTTTCTTTTCAAGTTTCGAGAAAATATGAGAAACTACTTAGAGATATCTGAATGAAATTTGTTTCTTATTAACATAGGCTTAGACATAATTTACACAAGCCAGTAGAATTCCATATGTCTTATACCTATGTCGATAACGCAAAGAATATCGATAACTTCCTTTTCTTTTCACAATTTAAAACTTTCGCTATGTAATGTATGAAAATAAAGATATAGGAACAACGAAAAACATTACAACGGATAAAGTTATATAATAACGTGCCCTTTGTAACTCCCCGTTGTATCAAACAACATCCATAAATATTCGCAGACGACATTTTACGATGACACTTCGGAAAAATAGCTACGAAATCCATCGAGAAAGTTAGAGTAAAAGCAGAAATTGTCCTTCTTGACATCTTTTTTTAAAGGGGAAAATTCAAATTAATTCGAGATTTTAAATTACCTGATTGAACTTGATGTGTAATATCAAAAACAAGGTATTTATCGTAAATTTTGTTTGTAGGGTAAGTCTAAAATTTTATAACCGAACAAGTGTCCCGGAAGCAAGCATGGTAAGGTATCTACCCACTTCATCACTCGATTATAATACTTAAGTAGAATAGAGCAGTAGAATTGTTTGGGCAGAATAATGATGACATCAAATTGTATTTATTCTATTTATTAATACATCGAGATCATTCACTTTCACAAAAATAATGATGATTTTAAGTAGAGTAGTATAATCATTCACATGCTTAATAATTATAACTAAAAGTAGAATAGTGCAGTCACTTTCGGAAAAATACTGATGAATCGAAACATTTTTTCAAAAGAAGTAAGTACGAATTATTTAGAAGTAGATGGTTGCAATTCTTCATAATCCCATAGACCCAGAAAAACATCCATAAATAATCGTGTACGACTTCTAACGGCTTCACAAAAATAGCTTCAGAATTTTTTGTACGTTCCTGCAGGATTTTATTCCCCTCACGTCCACCCACTGAAGCGTATGCCGAAATAATATAATTATAAGTTGTATTTGTGAATGTAACGGTAGGGAAAACAAGTGCCATGTGTATTTTCAATCGTTCAGTAATAGTGACAGTTATAGAAGAAGTTTTTAAAGTTTCGCGGCGTTTTCCGTTCACGGTATTCAACGAGTGAAAAGTGTGTGTGCTTCAGTTTCTTTTTGTACCCATTCGTAGCTGCTAACTGGTAAATGGTATCCCCGAGGGAATGATAACTTGTTCGCTATGACAAGTTTATTTAGTTTCACAGACAGATTTATGTTTTTCATTCAAAATACGAGTATAATCTTCCCCAACTATGTTAAATTGTCAATGAAGAAGGATTTACGCTGTCCAAGATAACTCCCCGTTATGTGCAATTTTCTCAGTTTTTTTCTAATTCGTCATTTTAGATACTCTAAATTTATACTCAATACATAGGAATTGAAACTATTTTTCCGGAAATATACCTACGCCATTTAGATCCTGAAAAATAGTTTCATTTCCCATGTGTAACAATCGCGAAAGCCTTAGAACTCGATATTTCGTCTACTTAAAGGTAAAACCACATAAGTAACATTTTCCACAAAAAATCTCTAAATTATGTACCTGTTGTAAGAAAATCACCATCTCTCTACAGACAAAACAGTTACTAAGTTTATAGCTTTTTGTTATTGTGTTTCAGGTGCAGAAAGATAGTTATTTTCATACCATGGCTATATAAATCGAAGACTTTGTTTCAAATGTCAATTATGTGGTTTTACCTTTAAACAGACGATTTATACCAATACATTTTTATTAAATATCCGTAAAAAGTCGTGGTAGCCTAATGGTTTGTTTTACCGCCTCACAAGTAGAGGGAACCGAGTTCTCACCTCAGAGTTTTTCGGAATGAATGCGCGGGATTTAATTTGAAATTTACCATGAACTTTTCAATGAAGAAAAGCATCGTGAGGAAGCAGCAGACATCTGCAAAGCAATTTAATGATGTATGTGAAGTTTTCAATCCGTATTGGGCCCGCGTGGAAACTACATTCCAAGCCCACTCATAGTGGGAAGAGGCCTGTGCCCAGCAGTGGTATATAGGCTAACTATTATACCCGTAAACACAGAGAAAATTGTCAATGTTACCCATCTTGATTGTAAACAGAGTAAGAAATAAAACTCACGGAATGTAGTCGTCTAGCAGCGTCGTGTATGGAGAGTATGTGTGTGATCTTGTATTTTTCAAGCTGGACTGGGTCCTTCGAGTCCCGGTAGTTGCCAACGTACAGCCCCGGTAGCACCTGCAACCAATTACTAAGAACTTCAGTACAAACGCCATGTAAATTGACTAGTAAGCTAATGAAATCGGCACAACAACATTGTCTCCTATCCAAACACTTCGTTTTGTAATAAAAATGACAGTAAACGTGTTGATTTATTAATTGTTGTATTAATTAAGCTACTATAAGATTTAAATTCAAATTTATGATGTTGTTTGTGATAAAAACGGTCTGCAAAATGTCAACCTTGATGTACTCCTGCCTAATTCTCGCATTATTTCAAACATGGTTTTTGTAACCTTTTATTGTATAAGCTATATCCCGTTTATCCCTACTAATTTTTATAGTTAATTTGTAAGTTTCATCACTTTTTCAAAATGTTATAATAATTTGTCACAACCTCTATTTCTTATAAAATTAGAGAGTAGATTCTACACAAGTGAGTTACTTAAGACGTCTTTTTCTTTTTTTGAAAGCCGTCTGCCGCCTCGTCTGCACAGTGCCTCCTTGACTGGTGAGGTCTGATGAATGATGAATTATTACACCTAATATTCCTACAGACATAATACAGATGGTCTCTTTCGCGTATTCTTTGATGCATATTTACACGCTGGATATCGTCTGCTTAAAGGTAAAACCACATAAGTAACATATCGAGTTCTTAGGTTTTCGCGATTGTTACACATAGGAAATGAAACTATTTTTCCGGATTTAAATCGCGTATACTTGGTTTTTCAAACAAACCGACGTTTCGGGCCCTTTACAGGTCCCATGGTGACGGTTGACTGAGGTGGTACAGTCTTCAACCAGTTATGTCTAATATTGATGCAAACCACCCTATTTTTTCACTATAGTTACAATAGTTATTAATTAAATACCTTATTTCTAATTTTACAAAGAAAACATTCCCATTTACACTAAATTAAGTTTTACAAATTATTTTATTGAATGAATTTTTATTAACTTCAATTTATTATTATATAATAATAGAAATTAGAATAAATTAAAACATATTAATTAGTAATGCAGTCTTATGTCTGTTTGGGATTTTTCATTAGAGGAAATACTGGATTGGATTCCGTGACCATGGGACCTGTAAAGGGCCCGAAACGTCGGTTTGTTTGAAAAAACAAATATACGCGATTTAAATCCGGAAAAACAGTTTCATTTCCTACACATAAGTAACATTTTCCATATAAAGCCATACAATTTTATACCTATCGTAATATGAAAATCAGGATCTGGAGGTAAAACTTAAAAATTAAGAAAGCTCTACAATTTTTTTTTAATATATCAAATGACGGGACGAACAAATTGTGCGCCTGTTGGTAAGCTACACGTATGTCCGTAACAGTTCCAGTGCCACTCAGAGCTTTAAATCGCAAAGATCAGAGGGGCACAGGCGCTGCGCCCGTCACCGTGAAACATGAGTTGACAAGTCCCATGTGCCTGTAATTTCACCAGCACCCTTACCCTTCAAAACCGTAACACAGTAATGCTGACATTATAAATAGGTAAGGTGGCAGTACTACCCTTGAACGAACTTTTTCACAAGGAGCTCTGCTGCTATTAAATTAGATTAGAGAGACAATTAAAGTTTTACCAGCACAGTCATGTAATTTGGAGGCTTTTTTGTGGAAAATGGCACTTATGTGGTTACACTTTTAAGGAGACGATACTATATATCAAATTTAAAAACATATATGCAAGTATGTATCAGCGTAGTGAGCGTTCCCATTATATCGCGACGACAGATAGTCGTGCAGTTTACAGTGTCGTGACTTGTATATTTAAATGAATTTGTTCATATATAGAACAACACGAGTGACTGTCGTTCACGACTTTTTTGACGTTACGACGACAGACTGTCGTGATAATCGGAAGAGCTAGAACGACAGTCGTCTGACGATAAATAAAACGTCACGATAAAAATGTGACGACAGAAAATTGCAGCTTCTAACGATTCTGTCGTGCAAACGACAAGACGGCTGCCGGAAACCGATAAATTCTCGTCACGATCTATTGGGAACAGCAAGACAAGTAGGTCTATCAACGATAAAATAATCATCCAGGACACAGTCACGACAGAAAGTCGTGCTATGGGAACAGGCTAGACGCGACAGTCGTCCAACGATAAATGAAACGTTATCTACGACATAATGATAACGCGCCCTTACTTAGTAGGTATATATGAAACAAAAATGATAAATAAATAAACGGGTATGTTGCAAAAGTAGCTCATTACAAATGGTTCCCTTTGAACCGTAATAATTATGTAGGTAAATGAATATAATTAACACACTATTTAGGTATTATTAAATTCTACGAATAATGTTACCGTTAATGGCTAATGTTTTTATATTGTTGATAGTTAGTGTACATGCAAGACTTGTTGATCTCAATTTTTATTATAAAAAACATGATTTTGTGCTGTGTGGTCCTTATTACCTATACAGGTATTATTTAAATTGCCTCCGTGGCCGAACGATTATCATGTTGGTCTGCCGCGTCGAGGACCCGGGTTCGATTCCTACATTTATTTCTTTCGTGAGTTCGGGGTGTAATTAGTGGTTGTCTATGTGTATGTCCATGACACTCGTCATATTGGGTTTCCTTAAGTCCAAAGCTATGAGTGTGTGCGTTATGAGTAGGAGTATATTGGTGCAACACGATCGCCAACCTCCCGCCATAAAGTTATAGTTTAGCATAATAGATATTATTGTAAAAATCTAAAAGTTTGTGATTTGTTTTGTTGTACAATAAAGCCTTTACATACATACAAGCCTATTTAGAACAATGAGTCCAAATACATTACATTAGAAGCTGATCTGCTCTATAGTGATCCTATAAGCCTTGCCGAGTCTTGAACGCGTATTTTTGTAAACTAAATAACACAAAGCCTTCCACATCGCGTGACAAAATTTACGTTCGTACACGAACGTCAAGTCTTGTCCAACAGGCTCTATTTTAATTTCAATATATTATTTCAATTGCGTTTTATGAATCAGAACTCGATTAAAATTGCAGCAACGGTGCTATTAGAGGTCTTATCAACCAAATCTATATTTTGCTCGCGTATCCACCAAAAAAATATACGCAATTGAGGTTCGAAAAAATAATTTTATTTCCAAAAAAGTATAATATGTAACTTGATAGAAAGTTCTAAGTTCTATAAATAAATAGTTTATAGTTACATCCTGTTAATTATTAAATGAATTTGGAATTATTGTTAACAAATTCCTGGAAATGCGAGTTTTCCCTCATCAACTTCAGTGTTCAAACATCGATTCCACGAATTCTTTCCCAATAATTTCCGCGAATTTAATCAACCTAAATCTAATCGCAGCCAGCGTTGAATCAATCGATGTCCTAAACAACAATCTAATACAGATTCAATGTAATATGACCGAAATGATCTTACGTAGTAAACATATTTTTACCTACCGTCGCTATAAGCATAAGCTACTTTAAAAATAATTACGAGAGAAATACGATTCCGGTTAAACAAAACAATGTACAAGGCCACCTGATGAAAGATCTTACTTTATGATACGCATATAGATAGATATAAGAATATCGGAAAAGCCTATTTTGATTACAATAGTAAGACCATACCGCAGTGGGCTTTGAGAAAGTAATTTCGGGGCACACAGGTGGAAATTTAGGGGCCAGAACAAACAACACTCCAATGACCTGCGCCTAATTTCGTCCCTACTTTTACGATGTCTGTTCCCTGCCCTTTTTGTTTTTGCTGAAAATATATAAGGTATTTTGACGTTATTGCATTTTTGCACCTTGATGGTGTTTTGCACAAAACCAACTCGATGGTTTGTTTGCAAAAACAAATGTACGTAATTTACATGCGAAAACATAGTTTAATTTCCAATGTGTAGCAATTTAGCAAAAACCTGAGAACTCGATATTGACCTTGTGTACCTAATGAAAAACCTAAACGCGAGTAAATTTGTATAACTATACATACACCAGCAACCTTTGGTACCGTAATGTTATAATGTTTGTGTGCATTGTTTGAATTTTCTCATAATCTTACCATTACGTGGCTTACACTTACGTTTACATTTACAACCTTGCGGGACCCCAATTTAAAACAAAACACTGTTGAATTTTGTGCGAGTTGTTTCGAACATTTTGGAGTATTTCTGTCGCCAAGCAGTAATATGAGCGTAACTGAATTCCGGTTTTGAATCATAAGCGCTGGTGAAATTACAGGCACATGGGACTTGTGTTAACTTATGTCTCTTGGCAACGGGTACAGTGACAGTGCCTGCCTCTGCCATAGGTATAAACATAGCAACACTGACCATGCAGCGCGCAGGCCGTAGCCAATAAATTAATAATTTCAGTACAGAGTACTAAAAAACCGACCTGAAAACTTCATGGAATTACATCTATTTACCATGTTTTATTGAAATCGGTTACCAGAAACTGTGCGTAACCGGATCCATCCCGTAGTTTGCCATCCTTAGAGGTGGATATTTTTTTCAAATTTAGATGGGACCACTACCGAGGAACCTTCTTTCCAACAAAAAAAGAATCATCAAAATCGGTTCACAAATGAGTTATCGCACAACATACAAACAAAAATACAGTCGAATTGGGAACCTCCTCCTTTTTTGAAGTCGGTTGAAAAAGGAACAGACAAAATCGAACAGGATACCGATCCATGCGTCGCTAATTTTATAAATTCAGTAATTTAATTTTTCTCAAAATACAAGCACTTAATTTATATAGTCCACCAGCTATGGACAGGCGTGTCGCTTTCGCTTACCACCAGGCGCACGACTTTTTCGTCCCGTTGCTTGGTCCCTTAAAAAAAATTAAATAGAATTGCACTCTCTGGGTACAAGTAGCGATTCGAGTACGCTTTTACTTGCTCAAATTACATGAACTATGGCGATTACCAAAGAAAGTAAGTTATATATTTTCATCAGCACAAAAACTTAGAAGGGATCTTTTATTTATTTTCAATTGAAGGGATATAATTAAAAGACGCGAAATCT